CTGTGGTTTTCAATACCTTCGTCACCACATCTCGAGTAATAATAGCCTCGCAGACAACTGACTTTCCACGCCCTTCAATCCAATTGACAGCAGCAGGTTTCTTATCAGAACAAAAATTCCCTGCAACACGGAAGACAAATTAAAGGAGGATTCCAGCAGTGAACCATCAAACTAAGTCCCTGCAATCTGCTGTTATAGATTGATGGTGAAAACACGAACTAAACCACTTTAGCAGAACTCAATATCAACTTTTCTTCCATCAAAGATTATAATTATATAGACAATTATTCAAAGAAAAGATAATGCTAGACAACTAGCAATAGTCTGAAAAACAAATTACAGGGCGAGAAACAGATTTCAATCTCTATTCGGCCTTTTAGTGCTAATAATTGTGACCTAAGAAATAGAAGTTACCATCCAGAAGAAATATTTTCTTGGACGTGTGTGCAACCTCAAAACGTAATGAACACTCCAGGAAAATTTCAGAAATAATTTAAGCAACAAGGGTGATTGGTACTAACCAGAAATGCCAATAACATCCATATCAGGAAAATCATTTTGAAGGAAGTCTAGGACATTCTGAACACCCTTAGAAACCATGTTCATCCCCATGGCATCGCCTGTGCTGCAGCTAAATCTAATGTAAAGATTTTTACCCGCAATAGCACATTTGATACCTTGAAGTCTAGAAAATCTGCTTGACCTGGAAATATTTAAAAAATCAAATAATGAAAATCTGTTATAAAATACTACAAATTGCAAAAACTGAACATAGCATGATATAAAATTAATTATCAAGTAAGACAAATTAAAAACATTCGCAGAAAGGGAAGTAAAACTACTTATGAAGAAAAAGAATCCCTGCAGTTGGGAAAAAAATATTTAGACAAATAACTTACAACGACCTGAATCTGAAAAAGACTCGACGCAGTGGGGGAAAGAGCATAAAACCATCAGATATGGGAATCATTAATTACAAATATCTGAATATATTTCAGCAATAAATCCACCTTTTCAGCAAATCCCAGAATCTGTTACTTATGCAAAATCAGACACCAATCCACATCATCGTTGTCCAAATTCAAACAAAATAAAT